ATGAAAGAAGGAATATCCGAGATATGTGTGTGGATGGATTTTTACCCTTCGGACGGCGGTTGCCGGGTCACAGCTGACCCGACTTTCAAATCTTGCTTGAATTATTTTGAACAATAGATATAATGCCTAGAAAAGTTAAAATAAAAAATTTGCTTTCACTTGTATACTGTCACTACCACTGAATAGACGTGTCAGATTAGGTCAGAAAAATTGGATTATATACAGGGTGAGTTTGGTAACTCTGTTTTTATCGAAGATAGAAAAAATTTTCAGAGAGAAACGAAAATTTTGCATTTTCTATCAACTTGTATTGTGACTTTTTACAGAAGATTATTAGTGCATTTGTAAGGTTCAATTACACTTGTTTTTTTTTAGTGGAACTTTACGATTCATGCAGAAAGTATCGTCTTCGTTAAGTGAATCCCAGCAACAGTAATAAATAATAATACAATATTAAGTAATTGACGTAAAATAAACATTGTAACTTCTTCTGTGTAAATTCAGTAAAAAGGTAAAGAAAGAAGAAGGATTTCCACCTATCTCGTATTTTTTTAAACCATTAGAATTCGGCATTGGGTCACGTTTGACCCGACAGCCACTCCATCCGCTGTCCAAGGATCAATATTCCGCGAAAAAATCGAAGATGAGAGAAACCAGCAAAGACGACAGATATTATATGAAAAGAAACTAGCTGCACGATATTCCCTCTTAATTTCCCAGGCAACAGTTAAACGCCAGAAGCGAGTCTCTACAAAGGTTTCGTTCGACAAACACGCGTCGCGTTCTCCTCGAGGCGTTCCATATCAATTTCCACGGAGCGCGCCGAAAAAAAGTCTTGCCCCCGCTTTTATCCCCAGTTTTCCGCGCAAAACCGCTCCACGGTTAACCGTGCAAACGCAACGTTTGCAGTCGATCGCGACACGTTCAAATAATCATCAAGCGCGCATCAACCCCTCGTCGCTGTTTTCGATCGATCCCACCGAAATTCCACATTTTCCTCCCGTCGCAAAGCAGAAAATCCACCTGAAAAAACGCTCACGTGTTTCATCGATCTATGCTAATAATCCGTTGGCGAATGTAGCGATCTTATCAACGGCGGATAGTATTGGGTTCTCTATGGCAGAGGAAGCGTAGCCTCGTTCGTCTGCTTCCTCGACACTTTGGCCCAGTTTACCGTGTAACGCGTCGAGCTAGATCGAAGAGAGACAGAGATAATGCGAGGAGAGAGCCAGACACACGCGTGTACCACGTATACCTATCTGTGTGTATATGTTTGTGTGTCCACGCTTTATTGATTTATCGTTGTGCCACGTTGCGTGTCGCATAGGTGCGTGCACGCGTGACGTATCTAGGGAACGGTCGTAAAGGGGCGGTATATAGAAGCTGAGGGGTCATTTGAAAATTAGTTACGCTGCTGGAGTTTGGATAAAAACGTGACGTTTGACTTGGAAATTCGAACGTTCCTTGATTTATTACGCTGACACTCTGCATGTCGCCGCGTCAATCGCGACGCTACGGATGACGCGCGAATATTTGTAAAAGCGTCGTCGTAATTCACCGGTGCGCGACAGTTTCATATTTTCCCGAGTGATTTCATCGACAAAGAGAAAAATATCTGTTTTTAACAACACGCTTGAAATTAATTGGCTTAATTATCAACAATCGTGGTGAATTTGTGCGGATATTTTTGATCGATAATAAAGGCTGTTTTCTGTTTTTTAAACGTGTTTTTGACCTTCGAACCGGAGGAACGTTAGCCACGCGAAAGCTACCGCTCTAGAGGCGTCTGCGGTGCACGCGTGTGTTAGGCGAGCGAAACGTACGATGGCTGTTAACCCCTAATCCCCGGGGCAGAAACAGCCGGATTTCGATCCGGCGGCCCGGTATACAGAGGGGCCGAAGTAATTTTTTATTCGAGTTCCTCGCGGTCTGACCGCGGGGATGATCTTTAATCTGCGAAATAGAGAGGGCCAGATTGAATGCGTCGGTGAAAAAGTGCCGGGGAAATTGTTTTTCCAAAAATTCGTTCCGGTGGGTGGTCCGTTCTCGATTTACGAGCAATGTTTTTTGCGCTGTTTGATTTGTTTCGGGCCGCTGCTGTGAAATGCAGCCCGGCTATGTGCGTCGAACGTTTCGGATACACGCGTGTAGACTGTTTCACCTGCTTTGCTTGTTTATTCGCGAGATCCACGGGCAACAATAAAAAGATGAGGTAATCTTCTTACATTTCCTCGTTGGCTTCGCTTTTTTAACCGTGGAGTAAAATCGTTATTCCTTCCCGAGACTGTACAGGGTGTTCCACTTTTTTTGGTTTGAGGACGTACATCGTCGAGGTTATTTCAAGATCGTCAACATTTTTTGGTAGATTGATTTCTGCTTTTTGTAATGCTATTTTGTAGCCAACGTCAAGACGAGTTCAACGACCTATGACACCGTGATTTTGAAATGACTTGGAACAATGTAAAAACAATGAAACAAACGGGAGAAATAACTGTGTTCATATCCAAAAAATGTCGACGACTTTGGAATGACCTGCAAAGTGACCTGAAGAGGATTTCTTTAATACCTTGCGGTCGAGTTTGATTCGTCATAGGAATTTTTGCCTTTAGACATTACATAATGATAAATCATAAATTATAAATGACAACGAACCATTTTTTTATGCATTAATATTACACTGAAGCTTGATATTTTGCAACTAATATTACGCTGAAATATTGAAATAAAGGCAAACTACACGGTGTTTCTCGAAAATGGCCAAACAAGTGTGAAGTAACAATTATTCGAACCGCAAATGGTTAAAACTCCTTCAGTCATGTTCCCCCACCTTCAACAGCAGCAGAAATCAGTGATTTAGATGTACACTAAAAGTTATTACTCTTCGTGACCTCAACAGCCAATTCGACGAACGAAAAAAAAAGAAGAAAAAGAAAAGAGCTTGGGAACGAAAGTCTGCAAGTTATTTTTTCGAGCTAATAAATGTCGTATACCGGATGAAATCGACGGAAATGAGGGAAACAGCCTGCAGATCGACTGGCGGAAAGTGACGCGTGTACCAGCCATGATAATCGATTAAGTAAAAGCGATGCTCGTGGATCAAAGGGGGTGGCTGGTGTATGTCTGTGTATATATGTATGCACGTGTACCGGTGTATCGAGCGGGTTTTGATCGATTTCGAGGGTGCACTCCCCGAGTGCCTTGCCGAGGCGTTAAATTATAAAGCGGCCGATCGCGAACTGGCACCCCAGCGCGCAAACATTGCGTAATGCCGCGTAATAATTGAAACCGCGCGAGTCCTCTGTGTCGGTTTCGCGCGCGCCGCCGGTAAACAAATAAAGCTGCGCGTTCACCTTTAAACGTGGTTTCGCCTGGCCTGCAGGCCAATCAAATATAATATTTGTACCAGGTCAGACTGAAATTCAACGTCGTTTTCACCCCTATCCTCCTCTTCTACGCTCCACGCACACACACGCAACGCCCGCAGCTCGAATTTTCTCTCTTTCTTAATTTTCTTTTAACCTGGAGAAACTTCTACGTTTATTAATAATAACCAGTGTCGTGTAAGTACATCGTCACGCGTTTCCTCTCATTCTTACCTCGTATTTAAATCGCAGAATTGGAAAAAGGTGTGTCGAGAACTACGATTAGAATCTGTGTTTCTGTGTGTTGGTGTGCCTATTTAATAGGAAACATCGCTTCGTTCGCCATGAACCGTCCCACTTATCTCGACATCCTCGCGTCTCGATGTGCGTATATAATATCATACGACGTTTTTAGGTATCATTACACGCGCGACTCTTCGTCCCGAAAGTTTTCGTTCGTAGCTCTTCGAAAACTCGCGATTCTCCCCCCCACCCCATTCGCGTTCCTCCTTTTCAATCCCCTGTTCACCCAGATTTTCCCCTTTCTCTCCCTCGTCCTCGAAGGAAAACTTCGTATCCGATGTCATACCTCGGATGCTGGAAAATTCAGCGAAACTTCCACATCGGCTGGCGAATCGAACAGCCCAGGTACGTAATACCAAGGTGAAATCACGGCGAACAACGGCAAAGACAACGAGGACTTCTCTTCTGATCAGCGGCCATCTTGAGTCGTAGCCGTAGAACGGAAACTTTCGAGAGAGCAGAACGCACACTGTTATATTATATACACACATACACTATACATATCTACACTCACGTACATCGATAGTGATTGGATTGTCGCGACGTTTTTTTTTTTTTTTCTTTCGTTTGTTCGTTAATTTATACAATCGGACCGTGCGCCATCTGTCCGAGGAGGAACTCGGAGAAGGAAGTGTGGTGGTCGCGGTTACTCTCCTTCGTTGGGTATTTTCGCCGCGGAGGAATCACAGCGAGGCAGACTCGATGAAAACATCGCAATTTTCCAGAGAACGGAGCACAGAGAATTTATCACGTCACGAAGTTCGAAACTCGCGCCAGGAGAAACGTCTTCGACTCGCACACACACGCACACACTCACACATACACACTCTCTCTTTCTCTCTCCGTGCAGTTTTTCCCCGTACCTCTTCGTTCGACGTGTGCAATTAGTTTGGATCACGTAGAGCAGCCGCGTGTCCCGCGGAAATTCGCGGGACCACCCCTCCCATCTGTCTTGGATGGTGTCACGTTGAATCGACAACCGGTCGGAAGTTGCGTCCGATCGGCCGTGAGGCGGCAGCTGGTTCCTCGTTTCTTCGCGAAGAATTCACGAGCTGGTTCGAATTTGTCACCCTTTCTTCCGACGAACTGCGCCCCTTTTTCCCTTGCAGTATTCTCCCTTTCTTCGCGGCTAAATTCTACGTGTATCCCATCTCTGACGTTTCCATTCTTCGTTTGATCCCATGTCTCTAACACGACTCACCCTAGTTTCCATCGCGAAACGCCAGCAGAAGCTCTCCTCGACAGAAGATCCTGGTTGTTGCATCTTCTCATCGATCCTCCCTCGCTGTACCATTAGCAATTCGTTCTCAGATATTCCTCTTGGGGATGCTTTACTCACTTGAACAGTATTCTTCGAAACGCTCTGCGGAAGTCCTTGTTGAAAACGGTGTAGATGAAAGGGTTTAGGGCGGAGTTCATGTATCCGAGCCAGAAGGCTATCACGAACGCCTGAATGGGTATTTCTACGCCTGGGAACAGTGGTTTAGCGATGTAGAGGACGAAGAACGGTAGCCAACAGGCGATGAAGCTGCCCATGATGAAACCGAGTATCAGAGTGGCTCGTTTCTCCTTCTTTCTCGCCAGTCTCCTCTTCTCTCTCTCCGGGTCCCTAGGTTTCGACGATTTCGCATCGATTCCTGAGTCGTCTTTACCCGAGGGCCGCCCGCCGTCGCCGTGTTCCCTTCTCAGTTTCCCTATGTTTCGACGACCGAAGATTGGCTGGCAGAGACGCAGTTTCAGAGGTTTCACCACCGCGCATCTCGATACCACGCCGCTGTCCGACGAGGAAGGGTCGAATTCGGAGACCATGTCGACGTCTATGCCGACGCTGGGCGCCCTGCACCGTGACGGCACGCTCGATTGACCGTCGCCGTTCACCGACAGAGTCGCTTTCAAGCTGCTCTTCTGCACGGGCACTGGAATCGTCACCTGTCAATGCAGAATTGTCAAATTTTATTTACTTTGTTACGTGGGATTTTTAGGGGTTGATGGAGATTGAGAGTGCTCAGTTTAGCCCGCGTGAGACTCGGGCAAAGCGTCAAATTTAACTGTTTAACGTAAGAGGGACTCTTAGGGAGAAAGTTAAACAGGGACGAGATATTATTGTCGTAATATAAATTTCTTTTTACCGTAATTCATAATTTTATTGGACTGTGAAAGGGTTAACTTGTGAAGCTCTCGATTGGTTAATGAAGTCTGTATATTCTGAATATGGTGATGTGAAGGTAATGTAATGTTCTTATTTCTAAACTCACAGTATTAACGACTCACAACTCGCTATATATCTTACTGATCCTCGCGCGCCTCTTTCATTCTCGTTTATCCTTGCACCCTCGCATTCTCTCTTTCTCTGGCTCTCTATTTCTTTCACTCTAGGCAGACCTTCTTCGAAAATATTCAGTCACCTCCACCATTCTTCGTTCACACGATATTCTCAAGCACACGTTTCAAACACTCTTCTTTCACACCTCTATCTCTCTAGCTCGAGCACTCTTCGTTCAGGCAACTGTCGCTTCGGTATAAACGTTCCTAAATATCCTGTCGTGCCCACAGTTGTGTATATTAACGTGACAAAAGTTGTCAAATAACAACGAGAAAATCAAAAAGGAAACGCCTTGGTCGGAAATCTCTAAATTTCCAACCTCTGTCCCCGGTATTAATCACATTTTCTTACTCGTTGAAGAGGAGTTTCGCAAAATTATCGAGAGATTTAAATTTGATTTGCGAAGGCGGTCCGAGTGCTCTAGAATTTTATTAGAAGCATACAGGACGCAGCTCATGAATGGCGATCAAACGTAGGGATAGAGGAGAGGCAGAGCGTATTATGATCGATTCGATCCCGATATGCGATAGGACACGGTGCCGCCTTTATTCGATTCCATTTGTACCGGGGGAAACCGAAATCCAATAGCGAATTTCTTGCTTTCGGAGATTTACCAGTTCCACTTTTATGCGGCGCACGGGAACCCAAAAACAGGATGTATTCAGATAGCCGAGCACGAAACTGAAGTTATATCGGGTAAGTGCATTCGAGATGCGGAGACAGGTGTCTTTCGTGTTTCGAGGTATTCGAGAAGCAACATCTACTACACTTAGAGAGACGAGACGAGGAAAATGGTTTGACGTTTCTTTTCCGGAGTGGATGAGGGAGAAATTTATGGGGAAAAATAAGAGAAAACCTGTTCGACATGTACGGGTGGTAGCGCAACGAAATGTTTGAACGAACGTTGAAACTGGCCAGGAGGGTAGCTTTCTTCCTGTATTTCACTTCGTAACAAAAGGGTAATGCCTGTTTGACTCCGAGTTCGAGCGTATGCATTAAAGCACGTGTAGAATTTGAAATGCGTGCTCGTAACTCGAGCGTGATAGATGGCCGGACTCGCCACGAATCGTGGAACAGAATAACATTGTTAAGCATGCAGAAACAATCCAACCGTGCGGCGGACCCGAATAGAGATCATATTTTATGGGGAGAAATCTTTCCAACCGAGACTTCTTGAGAAAATTTACTTTTCCCTTTTCTTTCTTCAATAATGGACGTACCTTTTAAGTTAAACGATTGCTACAGACTAAACACCGAGTACGAAATCCCCCTTTTTTATTTGAGATATTAAACTAGCAATTGAAGAACCCCTTAGCCTATGACAACGTGCCAGACTCGTGGCAGAGATTCCGGTGGAAATGTGACAAAAATAATGACATCAGTAAGAAAAACTCATTGTAATCCCAAGTTTCGTTTTAATTTGTCAAACCGAGGATTACCAAATGTAATTAATCTGTGTGAAGTTAACTAAAATATTTGAGAAGAAATTATAAAATGCGAAGAATAGATTAAATGGTGAACCTTGAGCGTATCTTTCTCCTCCATTGGAATACTGTTTCCTCCGCCAGGATCTGCCTCAGAGGTGCTGACGTCGCTGGCGAAGTCACAAGTGACGATAGGAATTTGCACAGGTTGATTCTCAATGGTGGCGACGTTCTCCATTACGGAACCAGGCGGTTTCTTCGACTCCGTGGCGGGCGTGCTCTGCGTGAAGCTGGTCTGCCTGACATCCGGCGACTCCGGCGGTACCACCGCTCGAGGACGCGGCTGCTTCCGGATGCCGCGTCGCGCGCGAGCCTTCGCCGCGAAATAGATGCGTATGTACACGAACACCATGATGCACGACGGGATGTAGAAGCTGCCGAGCGCGGAGTAAAGGACGTAGCCGATGTCCTCTGAAAGCTGCAACAAAAACGGACGAAAATTTGAACGGTCACTTTATCGACGCAATTTATCTCTTAGAATTAAGTCTCTTTACAATTTCTTAGGTGGTCACCTTAGATTACTTTGTTGTTAATGGACCGATCGAAATTTTTTTTGTGTCGCATAATACGGTTCAAAAAGGCCTTTAACCCAAAAGGCCTTAATCCGCGCATAATGATTGTCACTTGGCACCAACCGCGGAATAATGCGCTCAGGCCGACTGTCAGTTGAACGTCTCCGATTTGTGGAGTTAGTTGCGTATTCTTTTCAATTTTTTATAGATAAACTTATCATTTTTTAGCGGACGTTGAGACGAAAATTTTCCTAAAATCTTCACACTTTCTCAAATTTTTCGATACTAAAATTCCAACGTTATCCTCTGACCAGTGTCGTAGAAAGATATTAGGAACTCGTGGGAGCAGATTAACGCAGATATATTGTCTCCGTCGGCAGCGAACGAGAAACGGCGGAACTTTCAATCACGGGAAATATTTCAAGTTCCCCGCGATTACTCGCGTTACAAGGGACGCTGGGAGAGAAAAGAGAGAGAGCGGGGAATTTCGTTGGAGCGTCTAGTTGATACGCTCAAAGGGAATAAATTTGCCACGGGGTAACTTTCCGCCAGAGGGGAAAAAGTTGGCTGTCCAATTGAACAAAATATAGGATTGCGAGCGGCGTGGCGGTAGCGCTTGATTTTTTACGAGTTTCTTTTGGCGGTCCGGGCGAAGACCGATTCGTGAATGGTACGCAATTTCCATATTCCGCGAAAGTTTCGATCCCGTTACGTTGGTTTAGCAAGAGGCGGGGTGGTTGGGAATCTACGTCGTTTCCGTGTAATACTTTTACGGTCACGCACGGGTACGACGATACCGGGGGCGAACTGGGTTACGCTGTCCTCGTACAATGCGAAACGACGACGTTGTCCCGCTTAAAACCGGGCTGAGAACGCGGAATACGTGAGCGTGTGTGCGTTGCACGCGCGTTAGAGTTTAATTCAATTTAATTTACGACGCTGCTGCCCTCCTCGGGGCTGCCACAGCCACGGAATAAAACGGGCCGTGAACGCGTTTGATTCCGCGTAATAACTCCTTCGTTGTCGAGCGAACGCTACTGTTTCATTTGCATTTGAATTATGAACGAGACGACAGACGACGTGTCTCTTTATTTATTAACCCTGTGGCAGAGTTACGCCACCGCCGGCACTATTTTACCGAACCACTGTCGAAAACCTTTTCCTAGTCCTCTGTAAGTACGAACTTTCCGTTTTCCAACTTCTTCAGATTTTCCAGCTTCCGTTCGTTTGTTCCTTCGCACTGACAAGATTTCTACAGGCCTGCTCACGAGGTTGTTCATATTGGAGCGATGGGCCACGCCTACTTGAGCTACGATTCTGTGGTAAAAGGGTGAGATGGTGAGAGTTGGAACTATGCTTTAATATAGGCATGTGTTGGAAAAAATAAGCTTTTTAACACATGCTTATCTATGAGCTTACACTCCCACCATTACGGTTTTTCTTAACTCTTTTTACTGTTAGGTCAAACCCACCACTCCTTGATCGTTACTCTAATATTGTTCTATTACATCACTATTTTTCACAACCCTTGCGAGTCATTTTGTTAAACGATAAGCCAAATTCCTCGCACTCTAAACGACGATAAAATTCCTTGCACACGGCACTATTCCTGGATCCTTTCAGAAGTTTCCTTAGTTCCTGAGCCCTACAAGATACGACGTCCAGTTGTCCGAAACCACTCTGAGTCAGTCAGTGAATCGGTCAATTATTGTATCGCGCTGTGTTCATCTCTGGAACGCTACCCTGGAGAGATAAATGTAAGACGTTTGAATGAACAATGTGTTGTTTGCCCTGAGAAGGACATCTGCCCGGGCCGCTGCCCGCGGCTCTTCTCGGGGCAAAAAAGGGCGCTTTTGCCCTTAGAGCGTTTGCCTGAGCGGCCCTAGTTAAGAATTTTCCTCTTCGTCTTCGAGTAGCCTAGAAAGCACACACGAAAGTGGCTTTCAGATTTGCAGGAGGATAAACAGCCCTGTTTTCTACGAATTTTGTGAATCAGAACATTCTCTACCTCTATCTTTACGTATTTCTACATTTGTCTTTCTGTTCCACTCATATAAAAGCTTTGTCACACTACAGATTAAGTATCACTTTATGTTGAATAGTTACTCTTGCGTCTCGAGTCGTTATATTTGTCACCGCGCTGTTTTTAATAAATTGATTGGACGTAAAAAATGTATTCCCTTATCCACTTGAATATGGAAGCACTCTGGCTCATTCATTCCGTAGTTCTCGTTAAAAAGTAGACACTTCTAAATTGTTCAAGACAGAATTTCCCAGTGATTTTTACGTTTAAATCGCAACTCGAGAATCCCCTTTTTCGAAGTTTAAGAGCACCGCTAATTAATTACTGTCAAAACTGTTATCTCGAGTGTTTGTCCGCAACTTTCTTCGCTTTTCAGAGTGTTTCTTCCGTTGGTGCAAAATTTCCGCCACAGAAATACCCTTTTAATATTCCTCAACACTTCCCGGATAATTCTACTTTCGTTTCAATTAAAACCTCTTCCACTTTATTGTGCAAAAATTAAAAGAAAGACTTAAGGGAACTTTTTAATCAACCTTCTGCGAGTGAAAATGTTTTCACCTATCGCGAAAATCTGTCAGAGAAATTAATCGTCCGTTGGAAATTGTAAAGATCAACGTCGAGCTAATAATTCTCACACTTCTCTGTACAGAAAATATTCACAAGGGAAGTTCCACAACTCGGAAATTCGAAGGAACTTCGAACTTTGCGGAAATATAGCTGAAGTGACGCTAATAACGCGAGTATGTCTTCAAATTTTTTCCAATTTTCCAGTTGTCGAACTACTACTGTCAGAACTACAGGGTGTCCCGTAACTCCTCGAACACCCGGAAATGGGGGGTAGCTGAGGTGACTCTGAAGCAATTTTCCAGTTGTCGAACTACTACTGTCAGAACTATATACAGAGCCACAATTACCAATTCAAATATCCTTCCGCGTACACGTTCAAGAGGTGAACGCAAGAAGTTGAATATCTGTGTTACGAGCTACAAAACCATTTACTGTTAGCAAGCAAGTACACACGTGCCGTGTGAAACAGCCTTAACGTAGATCGTAGACTGTAGAATCTACCGTTACACCGGACTTTATTAGAATGGCCACCGGTTTGGACCACGATGAAACCACTTAGATCTCTTGCTACATTGCTATAGCTTACTGTAACCTTTCGTAATCCCTGATATCACATTCCGTACCTCTCCGTTCTACTTCACCGAATCCCATTAGCCATTTTAGACCGTAAGTGAGGTATACCCGCGTGGTAGTAATTTCCTTCCCTCTGTGTAAATTATGCAGAATTTTTGCACGTTTCTTTTATCAAAATCAAATTCTACCACGGTGGGGTATATCTGGTCCAAGTGGTACTTTCGAGCGGTCGAGGCTTACCGCGAAGCGATTAGCGTATATAAAATTTAATCTCTCAACTCTAGACGTTTAATCTCCCTTTTTCGCGGCCGTTGGCCGTTTCCCTTCGCCTTTTCATACCGCCGTTGCAACTAGGTAGTCTCATAAATGTGACATCCAGTGGACGGATCGTTTTTTCTTCCCCGACCCGAGTTAAGAAGATTGAAAAGCGGCGAGGAACGCGAGGTATTACCGCGCAAACACGCGGAATAACGAGCGGTTTTCGGTGGGAAATTCTGCTGGAAATTCGTCACCGCCGATTTAGACACACGGTTATGCACGTTTCCACCGTTCCCTTGTTCATTTTTCCTCGGATCGCTCGAATACGTGATATCGTTCTACATTTACTGAAACTTATGTTGCCATTTTTCAAAAAATCTAGGCACAGTATGTGTACCTCTATTTTTTTTTTTTTTGAAAATTCCAATTTTACCGATAGAGTAAATATGAAACTTGCGTTGAATTTTGAAAAATTGAAAAATTTGATTCAGTCGTTCCTGAAGTTTCTATTTTAGGTTCTCAAGGACACTGAAACATGTGCTCATTTTAAAAAAAATCTAGGCACAGTATGTGTAACTCTATTTTTTTTTTTGAAAATTCCAATTTTATCGGTAGAGTAAATATGAAACTTGCGTTGAATTTTGAAAAATTAAAAATTTGGTTCAGTCCTTATTCAAATTTCTATTTTAACTTCTCAAGCATACTGAAACTTATGTGGCCATTTTTCAAAAAATCTAGACACAGTATATGTACCTCTATTTTTTTTTAAATTCCAATATTTCCGATAGACTAAATATGAAAATACAGTGAATTAATTGCTACCCATTTAAAACGATTAAAAAAAAATCAGCACCAGTCCAGAATATCCAAAAATTAGATCATCTTTTGCAACTTCAAAGGAATCGCCTCTAAAGCGATCAAGTTTCACTCCGTTTCCCACGAAAAGTCTAACGAAATAGTTTTCACTCGTTCCCCCCGGTACAGGAAATTTCCCTCGGAAGATCATCGCGAACGCTGCTCACAACAGACGCTGTAAAGTTCACAAACAATCTAACCGAGTTAAGAAACGAAATTACCGAGGAAAAGTGGCGATAAATTCCAGGGTAGTATTCGTCGGAGGGAATTAGTTGACGAAACGATGGGGTCGATTCTTCCGCATCCTTGAAACGCGCATTTCTCCGCGTTCTACTCCGTGTTGGTATTATCGGTCACCTGGTCACACCGCCTCCATTCTTGCCAACAGAGAAAGGGGGACGTTAAAGGGGTGAGAGAGGCAAATCTCTTGCGGTGACGTCAAACGTTAGTCGGCCCCCGCGCCGCCCCATCCCTTCCTTCTCCGTGGCGAATTTCACAGTTCACGGCTACGAAATATATGTGTACACACATATATATATATATATTTTTTTTCTCTCCAAGCGGCGTGTGCGCGTTTACACTCACAGGCCTTCTTAATGAAAAATTCATCCGGCTGTTTTTTCCCAT